TGGTTCTCCTAAGGCTTCGTTTGAGAATGTTTGCTCTTTCATAAAAGCTCCTTTCAAAATATAAAATTTGAGTTATTAAAATTGATGATATATTTGACTATTTTTTTTTTATATCACTAATCATAACTTTTGGAACATAAAATACTAAAATCTCCCTTCTATAGGAATAGCAACATCAGAAGATAATCGAGAAAACTTCTCCACTGCAAAACTGTTATTGATCAGAAAAGGCGGGACTAACTTCCCTGCATTTGTACAGATGGGCAAGCTACCTCCTTCAATGTGATCAGCTCCTCTTCCTTTATGCTCGTTCAAACCCCAACTTTCTCCTTCTATCATCTCCCAGACTCCTCGCCCGCTCCGGATACCACAAAACCCTGACCTCCCCTCTATAAAAGCCTTGCCAAGCTGAAGAAAGTGACTAAGAAGAAGATAGAATCAGGCAATGTTGCCACCGCCTTCGACTCCACCACCGACGCTGTCCTCTTTCCTTCTCTTACCCCATTCTTTCACTATTTCGCCCTCTCCGAAGCCCACCATACTTATGGGGCTCTGCAAGAAAGCAATAATCAGACTAATTCCGGTGAAGTCGATGCCAAGCCGTGATTTCCTGACCCCTGTCTGCACAGCGTCCACTAGGGAGAGGTTGAGGGTCATTTTGAACAAATTGACTTACGAAACAGCAAAATGGTTGGTCGATGTTGCAATCTGAAACAACGATAAAATGACATTCTGTTCGACGGACTTTCAGCAATATCATTGTACCAAACGACAAAGTTCTATCAGAGTTTTCCCACATTGTCAAACGAGGCCTAAGAATAACATCTCTGCTTTTTGAGATCCTCTCCCTTTGACATCAAAATTCTCATCTTTTCCTCTAGTTTGTAAGTCTCTTTTCTCTTTTCCTTGTCTCTTATCAAGCTTCTTGCTCCATATTTGTTAGTATCCTTATTCTTGAAATCACTCATCCTAATCTTATTTTTTTTTATTACTCTGTTGTCCCAAACTCTTTGAAGTTCCCATGCATCGTGCAACATTATTTTGTTTGAAGATGCCCTTACTAGTAAATCTCTTTATGGCTTTAGTCATCAAATTTGCTTTCAAAATTTGCTTAAGATGAGGTACATTTTTCTCCCCATGTTTACTTGGGCTTAAAATCCCAATCTCGATTTGAAAGACTAATAAAAAAATAGGAGTCATGTTTAAACTCTCAGTCTTAATTAAAGAGACTAATCAGAAAAGATTGAGAGACTAATTAAAAAAGAGGTAATCAACTTAAACTCCCAATCTTGATTAGAGAGATTAATAAAAAAAAGAGATTGAGCTTAAAATCCCAAACTCAATTATGAAAAATTTGAAAGGAATGTTGATTTCTAACTCCCAATCTCAATTATGAAAGATCAGAAAAGGATATCGAGCTCTAACTCTAAAACTTGGTAACAAAAAACCAAAAAAGAATGTCAAGCTTTAACTCCCACGCTCTAACTAGGATGTTGCAAAAAATTCAACAGCATTAGGTAGTGTAAAGTGTACAACTGAAATGTTGATCGACAACGCCATGCACTAGAGACAAACAAAGACATATCACCTCGAATACTATGAAAATAAGTACAATAAGTATAATAATATGTTACATGGGTGTGACCATGCTCGAAATCGGCTTGACCATGCTGCTCAATTGGTGTGGCCACGCCAGTTTTGGGCATAGCTATGTCGGTCTGGATTTTTTTTCCAAAATATCTTGTTTTGCTCTAATTTTTGAGCTAGTCCTCATGTAACATACAAAATGCAATTTCAACCTTCCAAAAGCCTAAAATCATGTATTTGAAGTTGAAAATTGCAGGAATTAAAGCATAAAAAGTTTTAAATTTTGGTGCATGTAACATAATAGAAGTAAAGCACATGTTAAAGTCACATTTATCCATTACATTTTGTGTGGTTGAACTGTATTGCCTGATGCAATCTTTTCACTGTTCGACACACATGCATCAACATGTGTTTCATCAATCGCTCCAATACAAGCTTAAAGCATTTATCAAAGCTATTTGAACAACTGTGTTCAAGTAAATTTAGAAAAATATGAATGCATGTATTTACCTTAAAATATGATATATAATGTTGGTCCTACAATATATCTATGGGGGTCTTTTGGAATGTGAGGTCTTCGTGTTTGATAATTTCCGTTAATAAGCATATCAAATCATTCAATCTAATTGAAAAATAGAACTAATTATTTCTGATGAGTGTTGTAATCACTCCATAACTCCTCTCATAGATTCATTCTGTGTTAAAATGTAAAGGGTTATGGCTAACACCTATTTAGAAGTTATCTTGGAGGTTCAAGATTTTTGTGATTAATAAATATGGATTGTTTCATATGAAACATATTTTTTAATCTTTTTGGGTGACCCATAAGGGAT